AGCCTTGGCTTGCTAAGGGTTTTTTATTTGGCTCAACCTGCCAAAAAAGTAGCCCTGGCACACTCCTGCAGCTCCAAGGCGTGATGGATGGCAGCGAGGCTGGGGCTGAGGGCAGGTGGTGGGTGCAAGTTAAATAAAGAGCTTTCCACTCCGCTTATGGGAAGCCTGCCTGCCACCACGCTGTCCCGGGGGGGGCGAGGGCAGCCAGGGCCACTTCCTCACCCTGCCTGACATGCTTGCCCTTGCCCGCAGTGGCACATGAGGGGAGTGCCTGCAAAGGGACCACCCCCTCCCTCCCGGGGCCAGATCCTTCACACAGGGGGACTCCCCGGGAGCCTGAAAGAAAATCCCAGGGGCTTTCCCCTGCTGCCAGCGGTCGTGTGTTTGCCTGCCCTTTTTGCTTCTGCAGGGGCAGAGCAGCGTACGAGGTAAGGAAGCTGCTCCTGCCTGTCCCTCTTCTCCTTTACTGGGATAGGGGGGCTCTGGGCCCCCCCCTTTGCTTCCACTATCCACCCTGCCAGGTGCTCAGGTCCCTTGGGGAGCCACCCTAAAGCCCTGCCAGGCTTGGCACAGCTCCCTGGGTCAGGGCACGTGTGCACGAGCAAGCAGCCTCTGGAGGAGGAGGACTCCCGGAGCACAGGGCCCTGGCAGGAAAATAGCGCTTGAGTTTTGCTGTGGGAGACAGCAGCTCTGGGAAAAATAGATGATTTTCAGCTAAACTTTCAGGCCAAGAAGGCTTTTTGCTCTGCTGTGACTATGCTAAGGGTGCACTTGATTTGCATTTTGGCTGGTTTTACCTGCATTAAAGTGAGACCCATACGCGAGTACACTTTTTGGTAGCCCTATCCCAAGGAAAAGCCTGCGGGAGGAGCTGGCCTGACCCTTTCCTGGTACCTGGGGACAGGGAGGCCCCTGGGCAGCCCTAGAAGCTCCCAAGCCCAGATCCCTCTCTGAGCGACTGGGGTTGGACTGGAAAGCAGGAACATGGTTGCTTTTTAAAAACCAGCCAGGGGCTTTTACTTGCTGCGTGTGCAAGTTGTTGCGTAGTGGCATGTATTTCATCTGACAGCTCTGTGTTGGGATTTGAGGAGATGCTTAACTAACATTAAGTCCTCAGTACTTGACCCCTGATCTCAGGTTCAGCTGTGGCTTAAGTGGTGTTACGAGATGGATTTTTTAGGACCCGCTTCTGCGGGCTGGTTTAGAAGCACAGGTAAAAGCTAAGTTAGAAAAGCAGTCTTGTGGATTAGACAGTGCTCACTGTGAGGTACCAGCACAGGCCCAGCTTTTCCTCCTGCCTGATTAAAGTTAGGGTCCTAAACCCACACTAGAAGGAGCTGATTTTTTTTTTGGGGGGGGGAGCGATGCTAAGCCAGCCACCCTCCCTCCAGACTGATCCAAACCAGTG